AGGGGTGCGGAGGGGGTGGGGAGGGGTGGGGAGGGGTGCGGAGGGGGTGGGGAGGGGTGCGGAGGGGGGTGCGGAGGGGTGGGGAGGGGGCGGGGAGGGGGTGCGGAGGGGGTGGGGGAGGGGTGGGGAGGGGTGCGGAGGGGTGGGGAGGGGGTGCGGAGGGGGTGAGGAGGGGGTGGCGGAGGGGGGTGGGGAGGGGGGGTGGGGAGGGGTGGGACCCGCTGCCTCAGAAACTGAGTGGGAAACGTTCCTTCTGCCTCTGGTTTCGGGAGGAATTGGGGGCGCGAGTTCCTGGGAAGCGTCCAGATCGATTAGATTTCTGCGGCTTGTGGTCCAAGTGCCCACCCCTGAGCCCCGCCCCTCCCCGGGGACTCTGGGCGGGGCTCCACCCTGACCACGCCCCCAGCCCCTCCCCGGGGACTCTGGGCGGGGCTCCACCCTGACCACGCCCCCAGCCCCTCCCCGGGGGACTCTGGGCGGGGGCTCCAACCCTGACCACGCCCCCAGCCCCCTCACTGGGAATTCTGGGCGGGGCTCCACCCTGACCATGCCCCCAGACCCTCCCCGGGGATTCTAGGCGGGGCTCCACCCTGACCACGCCCACAGACCCTCCCCTGGGGGATTCTGGGTGGGGCTCCACCCTGACCACGCCCCCAGGCCCTCACTGGGGGGATTCTAGGCGGGGCTCCACCCTGACCACGCCCCCAGCCCCTCACTGGGGATTCTAGGCGGGGCTCCACCCTGACCACGCCCCCAGCCCCTCACTGGGGGATTCTAGGCGGGGCTCCACCCTGACTACACCCCCAGCCCCTCACTGGGGATTCTGGGCGGGGCTCCACCCTGACCACGCCCCCCAGACCCTCACTGGGGATTCTAGGCGGGGGCTCCACCCTGACCACGCCCCCAGCCCCTCACTGGGGATTCTAGGCGGGGCTCCACCCTGACCACGCCCCCAGCCCCTCACTGGGGATTCTAGACGGGGCTCCACCCTGACCACGCCCCCAGCCCCTCACTGGGGGATTCTGGGCGGGGCTCCAACCGACCACGCCCCCAGACCCTCACTGGGGGACTCTGGGCGGGGCTCCACCCTGACCACCGCCCCCAGCCCCCTAAAGTCCCTTCCGTAGGCGTAGATTCTGCATCTCTTGAAGGATGGAGGTGGAGGATGAGTGGTGTCAGGTGACCCACGGGTAAGGAGGGTGTGGGTCCGGTCTGGGGCTTGTTTGATTCTGAGTTCTCCGAGTGGCTGTGGATCTGGTTTCGGCCACCGCGCTCATGTCCGGGTCACAGGACAACCTGTGGGAGTCGGTTTCCGTCTGCCGTGTGGGTCCCGGGATGGGACTCAGGCCGCCAGGCTTGGCAACGAGTGCTGCCCACCACTGGGCCATCTGGCCAGCCCTTTTGTTTTTTGATATCCGTTATCCCAGACTGGCCTTGAATTGGTGATGCTCCGCCTCCGTGGCCCCCTGGCTGGGCTCACAGGCATGCTGTCCCCGCTGTGGCCCCTCCCAACGTCCACCTCCTTCTGTCCCCTGTCCGCTTGGCTCGTGTCCACACGGCTGCCTAGCATGGGGACGTTGGCGGCCACAGGGCCTTTGTGTCCCTGCTGCTCAGGGTCAGCCCTGCCGGACCCGCAGAGTCGGAATGCTCACCCACTGGACTAGAGACTTTTATTGTGTGGCAGACCTGGGTCCCCCCTTCCTGATGGGGACCGCCGGAGAGCCCACGGGGCGCAGGGAGGTAGCTGGGCCCCGCTGCGGAGAGGTCTGAGCGCTTCAGGCTGTGGGGTGGGGGCTCCCCAGCGGCCCACAGCCCCTGGGTCGGTCCTGTAGAATCCACGTCTCACGGCCAGGCTGGCTCAGGCCTCCTCCAGCGGAGCGGAGGGACAGCCTCTGAGCAGGTTGGCCCGGGTTTGGGTGGCCGAAAGTCCCACTGTAGGCAGGGCCACCCGGGCCCTTCCGGAACTGTCCGGGATGGACCTGCCATGTGAGAGAGGAGATGTTCCTTTCCCCTGGTCCTGTTTAGTGTCCCCGCATCCTTGACCCCCCACCCCCCCATCCTCTCGCAGCCAAGGATGACCTGGAACTTCTGATCCCCCTGCCTCCACGTCCCCCGTGCATCAAAGCCAGAACTGCGCTACCACACCTGGTTTTCACGGTGATGGGAATCGATCCCAGGCCTGGGGCACGGGGCGAGCACGTCTTCAAGCTACAGCCACAGCCCCTTCAGACCTGGACTCCGCCCCCCTCCCCTCCCCCGCCCCTTGGGGCACCTTGAGGGTCGGGGTGGTTAGAGGAGGTGGATGCAACCGAGAGGGAGGAGGCAGAGGGCGGGGTGCTGGGAGCACCGTGTTCGGTGGAAGATGTGTGACCCCGTGGAAGTCCCTTCCCCTCTCTGGGCCATTATCACAATGCAGAAAGGGACTAAGGCACAGGCTTGGCGGAGGTGAGCCCGACGGGCCGGCGGGGCGGGGCGGGGCCGCGCGGCTGCTGACCGTCAGGACCCCTAGGATCGGGCCCACTTTGCGAAGCTCCCGGAAGCTGCCAGGAGGGGGCGCGTCAGGGCTGTCCTGCCGATCTGGGGTCAAGCTGTGACCGGTCTGTCGTTCCCCCTCCGCAGGGTCTCCGGGCAGGGTCTCCCAGAGAGGGGCCTCCTGGCGCAAGACGCGCGGCCTCTCTGCGAAGACCTGGAAGCCGAGGGCGGTGGTGAGCACGGGCACATGCAGCAGGCCGGGCCCCTGCGCTGCAGGCCGGAGCCCCCGGCTGCAGCCCCCCGGCCTGCGCCGGCCCGGACCAGGGAGCTGGAAGGGCGGGATCTGGGCCGGGGTCAGGGGGCGGCCGGTTGGCATGGTGAGCGGCGGCGGCGGCGGCGGTGGTGGTGGTGGGGAGGCCCGGATCCCGTGTCAGGGTGGCTGGTGGCCTGGTTCCCGCTGTCCCCGCCCCCTCCGCCTCTTCATCTCTCCAAAGCTCTGTCGTCCTCTGTCCATGGCTGCCTGTCTCCCCTCTGACTCCTAGTGAAATATTAAATTTTCAATGTAATATTAAGGGGAAACATTAAAAATTAAATTTCACCTTTTTAAAATATTAAAACACTCGGAGCTGGATCCAGATCCCTGAATCGTAGACCACTTTCTCCTGTCCCAAGGTGGCGAGGGACTCTTCTGACATGTCCAGTCTTTTGATTCTGTGACAGGATATTGTTTGTCTACAAAACTCAAAGTCACACACCCGCAAAATCTCATTTACAATAAAAATTAGGGGGCGGTGGTGGCGCACACCTTTGATCCCAGCACTCGGGAGGCAGAGGCAGGAGGATCTCTGTGAGTTCCAGAACAGCCTGGGCTACAGAGCAAAACCCTGTCTCCAAAAGCAAAACATGTATGCACACACAGAGAGAAACTCAGAAAAATCCTCACCACAAACGAGACTCTTCTATACATACTGTGTACTTGACTCTTCACTCTGTGTCAGCAAGTTCCTGGGATGCTACACTGTGTAACAAACACCCCCACACACAGTAACATGAAGCTCTTTAGCATTTCGGTCTCACCCAGGCTGTCCAGTGCTTTCCATTCTATTTGTGTGTTTGTATCTGTGGGGCCAAGTGCCGTGGCCTGTGTGCAGGGGTCGGAGGACAACTTGCAGGAGTTGTTTCTTTCCTCTGTAGGTTCTGGGAACCAAACTGAGGTCCCCAGACTTGAAGGCAAGGGCCTTGCCCATCCCTCTCACTGGCTGTTTTTGTGCCGTTGAGGAGGGTCTTGCTCTGCAGTCCTGGCCGTTTCGGAACTGGTGACCTTCTTGCTCCAGTGGGGCTAGTAGGTATGGCCCACCTCTCCAGGCCTCAGACTTGCTGGCCCCAAGGAGTTGGGTCTGTGCTTTCCTGTCTCCTGGCAACAGGTGCTGGGCCAGCCTCTTGAAATGGCTGCAGCTTCCAGGCCCTCCTGCAACAGGGGGATGCCCTGAGCTCCTCTGCCAGCTAGGCTGTTTCCGGCATGATGTCCACTGTACTTTTGTGGACACATGTCCTGCTTGCAGCGTAAGGTCTACAATGGAAAGAAGCTAGCAGGGGACACCCCACTTTGTGCTGATCACCCCATATGATAGACAGCTCTTTTAGGAACTGGGTCAGTCACTCAGGTGGAGTGAATTCATGCCATTTTCGAGCTGAGTCTCCAGGGCCGGCGACATGTCTGCTGTCTGCAGGCAGGTGGGGCTGTTTGTCCACACTCCCTTAAGACTGTAGCTCAGCAAAGGTGGGGGAAGTGGACTTTCTGGAGCAGATTCGAGGGCTGTCAGGGGCAAGGCTTGCTGACTGGGGAGCTGGGGAGGGCCAGCAGTGCTGACTTAATCTCCTCCATGGCTCCTGGGAGCAGTAAGCAGAGATGGCTGGCACCAAGTCTTATTTCTGACACTGAGAAGAGGGACTCTGGCTGACTCTGGCTCCCCCTGCCTGGGCTCCCCAAACTTAAGAGTGGCTGATTGTCTCTGGGGACTGTGGCCGTGGGCTCCAGCCCAAGTGATGGGAAGGGCTAGGAAGGCTGAGGGCAGGACTAATTTATGGTTGCCCACGCCAGTGCAGGTCCAAGTACAGCTGCAGGTCGGTCTGCCCGTCTGCCCCGAGGCAGAGCCCTGCCCCTTCTCTGTGGCAAATGCCCCATAGCTGTCCCAGCCTGAGACCCCAGGGCCCCAGGCTCACTGCCAGCCACTGTGCTCCACAGCTGCCTCTCCATCTCCCACATGCCCGAGCGTGCCAGGTCCTCTTGGCTCCCTGGGCAGACAGAACGACGCACTGGAGACAGCTGATGAGGAGGACAGTGTGTGGGGGATGGCCAGGTCCCGGCAGGGCCCAGATGTCGTCCTCTTGCCACAGCCCAGCAGGAGAGAGAGGCTGTGAGGTGAAGCTGGGCTGAGGTGACCTCAGGTGCCCAGGCCTCCACCCCACACCTGGCTTCTCAGAAGACCAAAGTGATGAAACAGAAGGGGTAGGGAAGGAGACTTGGATGCTCAAGTGGGCAATTTTATTAAAAAACGAAACAAAACAGAAACAGAAACCAAAACACCACACAGAAGTTCCCCAGGAGGGAGGTCCCCGGGGGCAGGTGGCGCTCCACCTAAGCTTCCTGCTGCTGTACAAAGGGGTTGGGGATGGCCTCCATGCCGTCCTGCGGGCAGATGAGCACCACGGAGGTGCCGCGGCAGACCACGAGCCCCAGCTGCCGTGTATCCTCCGTCAGCTTGTACTGGTCATCGGGGTCTGGGGGGTTGACAGACAAGAGGAACTGAAGACATGTCCTTTCACCCAGTGTTCCACAACCAGGACCTCATGGGGGCTGTCCCGTCTCCTGAAGCTCTTTTGGGGACGGGCAGACCCTGGCACTCGGGTCTCAGAGCTGACTGTGGACATGGATACCTGGATTCTACAAGAACCCTAAAGGGCAGATGCTCACCCCATAAACACCAAGGGGTGGTCTGCGGGGGAAGCAGAGGCCCCAGAGAGGGTGAGCAGGAGGTGGAAATGGAGAGCGATTAGGAAGGTAATTGTCATGGGTACTGGGAGGGGATGCTCTGTGGGCGTTACGGCATTATTCTGGAATGAGCTGAGATCCTATGGGCACAGAGCCACCGACACAGGCAGACATTCCAGACAGGGGTCGGTGTCCCGGCGTCCCCAGGAGGGCTGGGGGAATGAGTTGTAAGTCTCAAGCCTGGGGCCATCAGAGCAGGCTTGTCACCTTTCTGGCAGTCAGGGACAGTCCTGCACCCCAGCCTGCCCCCTACGTCACCACCTGCCACAATGTGACCCCACAGGTGTGGAGCAGGAACAGGGCCTGGTGGCATCCCCGCAACCACAGCCAGCTCACCTCGCATGTACTCGATGGTCCCGTCCAGCACCAGGTTCAGCAGTGGGTCAAACCCCTTCAGGATCCCGCTGGCTTGAGGAACATGGGGAGGAGAGAGATGGGGGAGGATGACGTCACTGTCCTCCTGCTGCAGACCCAGGCATGGGGACAGATCGGGGACAGCTGCCACTACAGAACTCATGGGGAGGTGTGTCCCTATGTGGTGGCCTGGTGACCATGACCCCAACCCTCTCCTTTCCAGTGTGGAAGGGGCCACAGATGGTGAGTTCATGGTGGGCCAAGTGTTAATAAAACGTTATGTTCCCCCAAACTGAATTCTGCAGTTTCCATGTAGCACAAAATAGCTTTTTTTTTTTTTTTTTTTTTTTGGTCCTGAGAGGGTCTCATTTGCCCAGGCTGGTCTCAGACTCACTAGGCGGCCGGAAAATAATCCTGAACTCCCCAATCCTGCCTTTATCTCCCTAGTGTTGGAACAGCAGGCTTGTACGCCTGCTTTACATGGTGCTGGGAATGAAACCCAAGGCTTCATGCACGCTAAACCGGCGCTCTGCCCACTGAGTTATAGCCTCAGCCCTGGCTGGGTTTTGGAGACAGGGTCTTGTGACATAGCTCAGACTGGCCTAGGAGACCCCCGGGTCACTTCTGCCTCCAGGCTGTTGAGGGGACTCCTTCCTTCCATCTTTCCCGCTCCCTCCTCCTCTGTCCTCCCAGCCTTCTAGCCCTCTTCCTTTAGGATCTACCAATAATGGTCTGGGTGCTACCCCACCTGGCTCTCTTTCCCTGGGACTCAGTTTCCCCATCCACAATGGGGCCTACTGGTACCTCTCAATGTTACGGCATGGCCCAAGCTTTGCCTTGTTAAGAGTTAAAATGCCTGCCCTGTGTGGCTTCCCACGCTCGCCGCGACCCTGATTCTGTCTTAGGGAGCACTCACCTTCCCGGCCACCCTGGAACTTCACTCGGATGGTCTTGTCAATGTACTTAGACAGGTCCAAGATGCTCTCTTTCTTCTTCTTCTCTTTGTCCTGCTGGAGAGTGGTGGAGCTGAGGAGTGAGTGGAGCTGGCACCCAGTGACTCCTTTCCACCATACCATAGCCCCATCTGCACCCTCATTTCCACCTCCCATGCCCCCCTAACTGAATTCTACCTCCTTGATTCTGCATCTCTGTCTCTATCCCCATGTCCTTCTGTCTGCATCCCCATGTCCCGCATCTGCATCCCTGTTCCCCACCTGTATCCCCAAGTCCCTGTCTGCATCCCCATGTCATCTATTCTGTATCCCCCTGTCCCCCGTCTGTATCCCCATGTCCCCGGTCTGCATCCCATGTCCCCCGTCTGCATCCCATGTCCCCCGTCTGCATCCCATGTCCCCCGTCTGCATCCCATGTCCCCCGTCTGCATCCCATGTCCCCCGTCTGCATCCCCACGTCGCCCGGTCTTCAGTCCCACGTGATCCCAGTTCCTCTGCGTCCCTGTCTCCCTATCCGTCTTCGGGCGTCCGGCACCCTCTCTTGGCTCCTCGGTTCTCGCTCCCACAGTCCCTCGTGCCTGTGGCCCCGCTCTCCCCGCGACCCAGGAATGCTCACCGCCATCTTGCCGCCGCGCGCCGCTCTGCGCAGGCGCCACCCCGCCCCCTTCTCGCGCGGGGGGCCGTCCGCGCACGCGCAGGCTCGGCGCCTGCGCGTCGCGGGTCCCGAAGGCGTTGCCGGGAAACCTTCCGCCGAGAGCTGCGGTGGGACCGGCTGACATGGCGGCGGCGCGGCTGGCCGCGGCCCTGCTGCTGCTCGCGGCCCAGGTGAGGACCACGGCGGGGCGGGGCGTCCCGGCCGCCCCTCTCGTGGCCGGGGCCATGACCTCGCTGTCGTCCCCTCGCTCTCTCTGGCCACCGCAGACTTCCGGCCGGGCTTAACCCGCCCTGGGGCCCCAACCGCTGCTGCTGCCGCCGCCACTGCCGGCCTCAGTTTCCCCTTCTGCAGAATGGGGCGAGTCCCCGCCCTCCTCCCCCGGGGGCGTCCAGCGCAGCCCCCAGATGCTTGCAGCCCTGCGCTCCGGCTTCTGCCCCGTGACCTTGGGCAGGAGGGGGGGGGTCCCCACTTCTGGGTCAGTGCAAAACTGGGTGTGCGCGGGATGCGCCCCGACCTGGTACCCAGGCAGGAGGTTGGCTTTTGGTGTGCTTTGCTTCCTGAGGTACGATCGCATGCTGGCCTTGAACTCGCAGTGTAGCCCCGGCTAGTCTTGAACTCGCTCCGCAGCCCAGGCAGGTCTCTGACTTTGCCATGTGCCCAGGCTGGTTCTGTCCGCCCTGTGAGGCTCGGGCTAGCCTGGAACTCACAGCAGACCACCTGCCTCAGTACCCCAAGCGCTGGGATGACAGGCCTGCATCCCCGCACCCGGCTTAGCTGTTAGATTCCTTTTGGTTTGTGTCTGCGGCGGATCCTGGAGGGCTGCAGCCTCGGGCACACGGGGCGCTTGCTGGGTTCTACCGGGCACGGCTCGCAGGGTAGCCTGTGCTGCTATCGCAAGTGCGCCTTTTTTTTTTTTTTTCGGAGATTGCCAAGTTTTGCACAGGGTTTCCCTTTATAGCCTAGGCTAGCTGAGCTTGTGACTGCTCAGCCTCACCGTCGCCGGCCCTGGCGTGCACCTCCCCAGGCTGTGGTTCCCAGCCGCTCCACCCCGTGGCCCACATCTCCTCCGCTTTTACCCTCACAGCCTGCTCTCGGCCGGACGTGAGCTTTTGAAAGTGTGTCAGGGCCTGCAGCATCCTGCCAGCAGTCCGGGGGCTCTGCGTCATGTGTCCTGGGCCCCGGGCCTGAATCGGGACGCCGCCCTCGCTGGGCCGGTGATGTCCACCGAGGCTGTTCTGTGTTCGCCCTGTCTTTTGACTTCAGAATACCCCTGGTCATCTAGTCTCGACCAGTCCTGCCCTGGCCGGCCTGTGCCTTTCTTACTGGTCTATTTTACCGGATGGAGGGCTTTTCAGGGGCAGTGACACTGGGAGGTTCTGAAGGATGAATAGGAGTTTGCCAAGGATAGGAGAAGAAGGATGTGAGGGATGGCGTTTCCCCGGGGATGAGCACGCGATGACTGGAGTTGATACCTGTGGTGGTTCCCTGCAGTGGGAAGTGCCCCTCCTCAGGGTTGGAGACGGTGGAGCAGAAGGGCCTGGGTCCTGGCGGGCGGTGAAGCTGGGTGCCAGGGGACTTCACCTGGGCAGGCGATGGCATCACCGGGACCTTATCCTGCCTGTGAGCAGCTGTCCCTGTCTTTCCCAAATCTGGTGGGGAACAGGCAGGGGCGGCATTCTTGGCTGGGTCACAGCCTGGTCCAAGTGCCCAGTAATGAGGCTAGCTCAGAGTGGGAGGGGCTTGGTGCCAGTCCTGGACCCACTGCCGCTTTGTGACCCCGGCTAAGAGACTAGATGTCCCCAGCTATACCTCTCTCCCCGTTACCGAGAGAGGAGCGTGCAGTGGGACTACTTGGCACCATGCCTTGGTGCCCCCGAGGCCCCACCGCCGGCTCCCCGTCTGGTGCCCCCGAGGCCCCACCGCCGGCTCCCCGTCTGGTGCCCCCGAGGTCCCACCGCCGGCTCCCCGTCTGGTGCCCCCCAGGCCCCCACCGCCGGCTCCCCGTCTGGTGCCCCCGAGGTCCCACCGCCGGCTCCCCGTCTGGTGCCCCCAGGCCCCCACCGCCGGCTCCCCTTTGTGTCCTCTTGGTCCCCCACCACTCTGAGGTGGTGTTGGGGGCTCGTGGTGCCCAGATGCGTCTAAGTAAGCTTGCTGCTGGGGGTGGGGTGGGGGGCGTCCGTTCTCGGTTCTCCCAGGTGTGGCCAGATCACGGAGCCTTGGGTACTGGTTCTTGGAAGAGCCTGACCTGTTGAGAGTGTCATTGTGCTGTCCCTGTGGTGAGGGAGTGGAAAGGCTGCCATGTGCCCTGTGGGGTGGGCGACCATGAATGCGCCTTTGTGCTTGTAAATGACCTCTGTGAAGAGAGCCGTTCTATCGATTTCCGTTTCACACAAAAGCCACTTCACAGAGAGCCCCAGCCCGGGCCCACAGAGCAGGGCTCTGCTGGCCCGTATCACAGCTGCCCTGATGCTGGACGGGAAGGAACCGTGGGCGCTCCCACAGGAGTGGACTTACTGTGTGCCAATACAACCTATAAACCCAGACGGCAGGCAGGGGCGGTTTGGGGTGTGCTCTGAGCCCTGTGGTCTCTGCTGCCTTCTGCCCCTCCCTCCCCTGAGCTGGGGACTCAGGGCCTTCCTGGGGCACCCAGCAGCCTGGAGAGGCGGGGAGAATATTCTGGGGACCACGGTTGGGCGGTCGGTGCTGGAGTTGACGGTGGGTCCCTGTGGTGGTGGGAAAACCGGCGCCACAGTGGCTTTCACTGTGAGGTCAGTGTCTCAGAGTCCCAGGGGCCGGGGCAACCTGGGTCCTCCGCGCTGCTGCCTTGAGATGACCAGAGTCCCTTCCAGGGGTTGGCCCCATCTCTAAAAAGGACAAGCCCGGTCTGTGTGAGACCCAGGCGTCCTGGTGGGGACCCTGCCGGTCGGTCTGCTGGCTGTAAGTTGATATCCAAGGTTGGTGTCCATCCTGTTTCCACGGCAGGTCCTCAGGCGACACCCGGTCTTTCCCTGAGGAGTTTGCAGCCTGGAGGGGTGAACTCCTAGAGCCCAGAGTGACTTCTGGGGAGACGTAAACAGAGTCTGTGTGCCCTGGATAGGTCACCCACGGGACGGGAGTGGCTCCGCCCAGGTGGGAATAAGGAAGCAGTGGACTCATGGGGAGTCCTCACCGGAGTGTGGGTGGCTCGTCACTGAAGAGCTGGTTCCTGACAGGCCTGGCGGGCACTGGACTGACTCCCCCCAGCAAGTTCTGTGTGTGTCCTCGGCAGCCGGTCTTATGAGTTTACAACTTTCTGAATTTAGGAAAGTTATGGTAGAGTTCCGAGCCTTAGACCCTCCCCCTCCCCGCCCCTCCATTCCTTCCTCCTCTGTGACACGCCCTGAGCCTTGATGAAGGTTGACCTTGGCCCACTGTACCACAGCTCTAGTCAGCTCTCAGGAGCTGGGTGGTTTCCCTCTGACTGAACGGGCCAGCAGCGGCCATGATCCTTAGACGTAAACACAGATGTGTAGAGGGCATTCTGACAGGCACATCACAAACGTTCATCAAAACTGTAGCGTGGACGAAGCCCTGGATTCCATCCCTGGCACCACAAAACCAGGTGTGTGCCTGTCATCCCAGCTCGCAGATCACAAGTTCAGGGTCATCCTCAGTTCCAAAGAGTCGATTACCAGCCTGGGCTACACGAGACTCTGCCAACAATAGCATCTGTGTTCCTGCTGCGGACTGTGATCTCCCCAGCGAAAGCCTTTGCCCTGGCTCACACCACATGTGAGTTGTAGGCAGGCCTTATGGCCAACCTGAAGTCATTGGTCACACTTGGAACAGCATGTCACTTCTGCATCAGCGGTACATCTCCTGTGAGATGTTGCGGTGTGGCACACAGGGCCCGTCATCCTAGTCTCGGGGTGGGCTGCCAGCTCGGCCCCAGCCTGATTCCTCTGTCTTCAGCAGCCAGTGTGTGATGTCTCTGGCATCAGGGGCCTGCTGTGGAGTGAAAGCAGCCACAGTGGCAGCAGTATACTTTGTTAGCGTTTTTGCAGATCTGTGGGGCTCCGTAAGACTCTCAAGGGTTAGCGTTATGTAATGAAACTACATTTTTTTAAACATGCATTTTGTGTTTGAATCTGTGTGTACTTAGATGTTCATGCTGTGACAACTTGTGGGAGTCTTCTCTCCTACCCTGTGGGTCCCAGGGCTGGAACTCGGGTCTTGAAACTTTGTGGAGGCTGGTCAGTAAGTCACACTGTTTCCAGCTGCTCTTGGGTGGCTAGAAGGATGTCCAAAGGGAAACATTGGCCAGGTCCAAGCTCAGCACTGTGGCAACGCTTCCCTCGGCAGGGAAAGGCTGGACGCAGCAGCATGGACGGGGACATGCTCATGTAGCCCTCCGCCTCTTCAACCTTGGCCCATAGCTGTGGGGCTGCCGGGCTGGCCTGGGCCCCATGGTGGAATTCCCTCTGTAGACCTAGCTGGCCTCTAAGTCACAGATCCCTACCTCGAGTGCTGGGATTAGGACGTGTTGTGCACCATCTAGCCCCTTGTGCTCCCGTTAAGGGCGGACTGGGATGTTGTCACTCATCTTTCCTAGTCCCACCCCTCCACTGTCTGCTTCT